TATCCTGGATAAATAGCAATAACTTCAGGAGCAATATAAAATATTGTGGTTTTTTTTTTTGTCATTCTGTCTTCTTACACAACCATAAACACACAGTTCCTCAAATCTTTACCATGATCTTACACTTCTTTTTACAAGGTATAGTTTGCTGGAGTATATTAAATATTGTATCACTCATCTTGAAAGAACCAGTTCTTTTATTTTTTTTTTAAGATTTCATTTATTTATTCATGAGAGAGGCGGAGACACAGGGAAAGGGAGAAGCAGGGTTCTTGCAGGGAGCTCGATGCCGGACTTCAATCCAGGACCCCAAGGTCATGACCAGAGCCTAAGGCAGACGCTCATCCACTGAGGCACCCAGGTGCCCCTTGGAAGAATCAATTCTAATTCCAGGATCTGCCATATTATAAAAGAAAAATTTTTATTAACTAGAATTTCCATAAAATGATAGAAAAAATTAGAAGACAAACATATAGTGTGATATGGATTATCATTCTTGTCACAATGATGTTTGATCTTCAGCCTTTGCTAACTGGGATTATGCAGATAAAGATCAAATTTTACCCATATCAACCAAACACAACATTCTGCACGCATCCAGTTTCTAAATTCTTGCTACTGTATCTTTCATCAGCTGATCATCAGATATGGAGTATATATTTGGGAAAATGTTTTAGCTAAACTGATCATAAGTCTTGTAGGCTGCAGGAAAAAAAAAGCCTTTTTAAACATGGTGTGAAGCAAAATATATCTGATAGTAAAAGACTGACGAATTTGATTATATAATAATTTTAAAACTTATAGAGAGCTATATAAATTATATGTAAATTTAAATTATAAGAAGCATAAAGGCAGTTATTTAACAAATAAATAAAAGATAAAGGGTTGATAATGAAAATATATAAAGCTATCTTTCAAATTAACACAAGACAAAGCCCAGCCAGAGTTTCTCCATCTTCACCTTGCTCCACTCTCTAGCATGCTGTCTGTACTCCAGCTAACTGGCTCTTCTTCCAACCTTCTCAGTTATTCCATGCCCATTCTGCCACCAAATCTTTGTACATTCTATTTCTTCTGTTTGGAAATATTTTCTTCAGCCTTTTCATCAAGGTAACTTCTCTTTACCTAATTAGTTCTACTTCTCCTTCAGATTCACTTCTGAATAAAGGGCTTTTCCAACCCACAGTCTAGGAAAAATGCTTTTGAGCTATCAGAATAATAATACTTTTTGGCCTAGCAACTGCTCAGTAATCGTTATACATTCATTTAAGTGTGCTCTCCGTCTCCCATTATGTACTGGCCTATTTTTGACTACCTCGCATCCTAAGTATCAGGTCCTTGCCTGATATAGTATATATATTTTACATCTGTAATATATAGATGTATATATGCATACATAGGTGTGTTCATTACAGAATTGTTACTAACAGTAAACAGGAGGAGAATAATCTGAATTTCCATAAATAGAAGACTATGAAAATATATAGTTGGAAGGGTATAAAGTAAACAAAATAAAATCCATGTTCCAGCATTGTCTCCATTGCTTATTGAAAATATAGGATTGAGCCTCAAATTAGTATGAAGTAAATGAGGATAGGTATTTTATCCAATATAGCCATGTGCTGGTAAAATAATCAAATGCAAGTAAAACCATTTTATAAATTCCAAACAAATATACAAAGATAAAGAGATATTTGAACATTATTTTTATCATTTTTATCACATCGATGTTAGTGGAACCACTCTAGGGATTGATTGGAAGTAGACTCAATACTCTGTAGGTTCTTCTTAATAGTTGCACCTTTGTTAAAATGTTCTGTGTATACTCTATTTGGAGCTGAAATTATATAGAATTAATGCCTTAATCTTAAACCCAAAGGGTAAAAAAAGAGAGAAAATGGTATCAAAATTGTTATTCTTTTCTCTTTTATATCCAGGAGGCTGAAATTATCGTGAATCTTTTAGTAAGAGTTAGTTAAGTGACTTACAGTTTTTTACATGTGCCTTTGTGTTTAAAAACAGTGAGTGTTGAGACACCCAGATGGCTAAATGGTTGAGCGCCTGCCTTCAGCCCAGAGTGTGATCCTGGGGTCCCGGGATCGAGTCCCATATCGGGCTTCCTGCATGGAGCCTGCTTCTCCCTCTGCCTGTGTCTCTCATGAATAAATAAATAAAATCTTTAAAAATTAAATAAATACATAAATAAATAAAAAATAAAAACAGTGAGTGTTTACTTCTCTGTGGCCCAGGCATTGAAGTCTGTGCCAGATGTGAATCCCAACTCTGCCATTTACTAATAGTGTGAATTTAGACAATGCAATTACCTAACTTCACTTAACCAGTTTCTTACTTAAAAATTAGAGTAAGAATACCTCTTCTGCATAGGGTTGTTATAAAATATAAATGGAAAACTAAGATGACTTATAATAGGTCCTATATGTTAAATGTTTAGTCCATGTCAGGCTTAGATCACGGGCGAGAGATTCATGCCGGCTTTAGGTGAATAAAAAAATAGTAAACAGAAAATTACTCATTTGAACTCATTTGATGGCTGGTAGTCAACCATTTTAGCCATTTATATTCTTTTAAAGAAGAAATTAAGTCTTAATTCTTTTTATTTATACCTACATGATTTTTTTTTTAATAGTTTCAATTCCTAAGTAGAAAATTATGATTAGGGCAGCCCCGGTGGCACAGCGGTTTAGCGCCACCTGCAGCCCAGGGCGTGATCCTGGAGACCGGGGATAGAGTCCCGCGTCGGGCTCTCTGCGTGGAGCCTGCTTCTCCTCTGCCTGTGTCTCTGCCTCTCTCTCTCTCTCTCTCTCTCTCTCTCTCTCTCTCTCTCTCTTCTCTCTCTGTGTCTCTATGAAAAAATAAATAAAATCTTAAAAAAAAAACACTATGGTAAATAGATTGGGAGTTCTTTGAGGATGGAGTGTTTTATGCATTCTCTAATCTCCAAAGAAAGTTTCTGACTTATGGTTAAAAGTTGATAAATGTGTGTTGAAGAATAAGTGTATGAATGGAATGTGCTGACGTCCTTGTGACTTAAAAATCACTGGAAGAATTATATTAGGATAAATTGGTCAATATCAATAGACTTCTTGAAACCATTGTGTTTCTTTGATCATTTTAAATTAGTGTAATCTAAACATGGAATTCAATTGTATGTACCTTAAGATATTCTCTATATTTTTATTTTAAATGCTAATGAGCCAAGCATTTAGGCAAAATCTTTTTTAAAAAGTGAATTTCTGTTTGCTTATGTAAATCAGTAATGGTTTTAGTTCCTACAATAAGGAAGCAAACTTCTGACCAATGTTTTTACTTAAATCCGTTGAAAGTATAACTGTAAATTCATATTGCTTTTATAAATGTTGAATTCACAAACATGAGTAGGTCCTATGGTTTTTATTAAAACTTCAACCTCCATCTGTTACAGCCTAAGAAGCATTCACCCATGCTGCTACCTTTCAGATTTATTTGATATCATACAACCTGTCTTATGCTTGAAAATAATATCCCTAATAATTATTAATTTATTTTGTATGTACTGGTTGGCTTAGAATTAATCATTATAAATGTATTTGGTGTTTAGGTGCATGTCATTAGTATGGTACTTCTAAACTTGCAGTTTGTCAGCCTTTATTTACTGGCCAATTAATTACATGGTGGTACTTATCATCTAACTTTTTCTTTGATTTTTTTTAAAACTCTGCAAAATGGATTATAATAATGTATAAATATTGAAAGTATTATACCAACAATCCCTAAAATCTAGGGATAATAATGCCTGGACCAATTATAACTGGCCTTCTCAAATGAAATTTATTTTACCTTGATTCCATCTGAATTTACTTATGATTTTATTTCTAATCTCTTGTCTTCAAAGGTTTATATCCTGAGATCTCTCAGATACCTTAACTCTTATTAAGACTTACTAAGAGTTAAGACTTACTAGGGAGTGCCTGGCTGGCTCAGTTAGTAGAGCATGGTACCCTTGACCTCAAGGTTGTGGGCTCAACCCCATAATGGGCTTAGAACTTATGATAAATAAATTAATTAAAACTAAAATTAATATTAAAAAATTGAAAAGGCTAAAAAAGCGGGAGGGGATCTGGCTGGCTCATTGAGAATGCAACCCTTGATTTTAGAGCTTTGAGTTCATAACCCATGTTGAGCATGCAGATTACTTTAAAAAAGAGAGTGAGAGAAAGTTAAGACTTATTAATTTTCTATTTTTATATCTATGTCTTGATATGTATGTATAACTTATACTTGACCCAGTTTTAAATATATTTTGAATATACATATATGTATACACAAAATAGTGAAAATAAAACAGAGATAATACTCATATAATGAAGATTAGAAATTGTTCAACTCTAAACCAGAATGAGATAATTGATTTGACTATTCGTTTTCTGACTGCCAAGGAAAAGAACAAAAACATTTTCATTTTTCCAGTTTAATAAGAGAGACAAAATGTCACCAAAGTTTTAGATACCAGAATGGCTCTATGTTTTATGGCCAGAAATTCCTTTCTTAAGCCTTTCATCTTCCTTTACATTCACTCACCAATTTACATATTATCTGCTTTTTGAAAACCTTGTATTACATACTCAATAAGGAATTGTCTTTTCTCTGAATTATGCATTGATAATTAAAAGACTATAGCTGTCACTGATTGAGTACCTATCATGTGAAAGGCAAATAAGAGACACTGAATTATCACCAACCCTAGCAGCAGCAATCCTGAAGATTCATGATATTTTACCCTCTTTGTGGATGATGAAACTGAGACCAAGAGAAGCTAAGTAGCTGGCACAAGTTCAAATGGCTAATAAGGGTAGAGTTCTTTAGCTGAGTTCCAGTGTTCCAGTAGCACGTTGTAATTTGACAATTTCTTCATGGAGAATGTTCATTTTATTCACTGTTCCTCCAAAAGAGAAGTTATATGAAACCCATTGACATTTGAATATTACTGTGCTTTCTTGCAGCCTGTGAACTTATGAATCAAGGCATCTTGGCCCTGGTCAGCTCCATTGGCTGCACGTCAGCAGGGTCCCTCCAGTCTCTGGCAGATGCCATGCATATCCCCCACCTCTTCATACAGCGCTCAACAGCTGGGACACCAAGGAGTGGCTGTGGACTCACCCGGAGCAACAGGAATGATGACTACACGCTCTCTGTTCGCCCACCTGTCTACTTGAATGATGTTATTCTGAGAGTAGTCACAGAATATGCCTGGCAGAAATTCATTATATTCTATGATAGTGAATACGGTAAGTGTTTGTGATTCATGTGAGTTTTATAAGCTGATATTTGCATGGCAAGCAACTTCTTTAAACCTTGAAAAACTTCAAGGAGCTTACTCATTATTATCCGTGGTTTTATTGTTCTTTCATAATCTTACAAATCTAGCAGCAAAAACAAAAAGTCTGGTTAAGTTCAAGTTCAATCGTTTGTATTAAATCACATTGAAGTCAAATTAAAAAATAAATAGCTGTACCTACTGCTCAGTTTATAAATGTTTCTAAAGGGAATCTGACTCCAGTATATCTTGATTTTTCAAATAATGGGAAGTCATAAAGATAATAGTGTCTTTCTCCTTTTCAAAAACATTTATATCTTTATATATTAATAAAATATCATGTTGGACAGATCGTGGAACACTGAAAATAAATGCTTATTTACATTTATAAGTTCCAAAAACTCCAAAAACCTGACATATCTTGCTTACATCCTTAGACTCTTTGGGAGTAACTGAGTTTATATTGCTTCATAGTTAGCATGGCATTTTGTCTGCAATATGAAATTTCATGAGAATGCTGAGTAGTATAAAGATACTTAATTTATTTAATTTCCCAAGATAAAACACAAAGCATTTGCCCTGAATTTACTATAAGTTAAGGAAAAGATACTTTGTCTCAGTATTTTACTTGTGTTACATTAAGAAAATTGAAGAATAATAATAGCTATATTATTCTTTTCCTGAATAAATCTATTTTCTGACTGATCCCAAAGATGTTCAAAGATAGTTTCTCTCCAGTTTTTGTCATTAGGGGGAATAGAGAGGGATATAATAAATTGAGAGAAAATTAGCAGTTCTTCATGAAGATATATATTTTGAAACATGTATCTTTAGAGATTTGCCTTAAAAAGGAGTCTCAGAAAAACGTTTTCCATTCAGTCTGGATGGGTCTAGTTTTTATTTTTTATTTAAAAAAATAAAGATTTCACCCTCTGCATGCAACCATTTTTTTCTTAGCACATGAATAAATAAACATTTAAAAATAATGGTTTTCTTGTCATAATCTAACCAGCATTGTGAAAGGCACTGGAGAACAGTGACAGAAGAGCCAGCCAGAAAGTGGCATCAATGGGACTGAGCACAAACAGGTTGGCAGAAATCTGGAAAGCAACAAATAAGAGCCCCTGTGGACTCCCAGGGAGAAAGAGCAAGTGGCAGTTACATTTACCCCTAAATATTCAAAGGTCGCATGGGGTTTTGGCAGCCAGAGTAGCATTAAACTTGAAGGGTAGATTTCAGCCAGAAGTCTGTGGCACTCTCCAGAAGCACACTTGTCTCCAGGACGGAAATCCTTATTTTTGTTGCATAATTCATATTGTTTAGGGATCACAGAACAAAAACTAAGAGACTGAAATGAATAAAATAAAAAAGGAAAAGAAAAAATAATTGGCTCATCAGTAAAAGTGAGGACTGAACACAAATCTGAAATTTGCTGATAGGATTATTCTGTTGAACGTAGTAAACTCTACCTCTGGAATCAATATGTCAAATACACCTTTATCAGTTTCCTTCCAGTCATATTATCTATGATTTTCATAACCTTAACTGGTATTCTTAAGATGTCTGCTCAAACATAACTTGAAATAATGAATTTTTAAACTGCAAATCTTTCTTTAAGGGGGGATTAATTAGTCCTATAAAAATAGTCTAGCAAATAAAGAAACAGAAAAGTAATTTTTGATCAAGTTTTTAACAACATGAAAATGGGAATTTTATTATTTCATTATAAACATCAATGAAGAAAAAAAATTCCTTGGTATCTTGTTTCCAAATCCCACATGGTTTAGAGTTAGGAAATTCTTATAAGAGAAAACATTGTTATCATTGATGAGGTAAATATTTTTGAAAATGTACACTAAATTCATAGTCGTAGAAAATCACTTACATACATTTGAAATTTCTTACTCTTTTTTCCTCTGTTTAATAAGTAAATAAGATGTTAAAATCACAGTGCATAACTGAGTCCTCTGTTAGAAACAGAGTTTGTTTTAGGAATAATAATAATAATATTTTCTTTTACTTTGATGATAAACTTGCTTTTGACTTACTTTTTAATTCAATAATTCATGAAAAATTACCCTGCTTGCATCCTTAAAATTATTTCCAGTAATACTCTTGTTTAATAAAAGAAAATTTTCCTTTGATACCCGCAATAAATCTTGCTAGAACTAGGCTAGAGTCCAAAATAAACATCAAGCTATCCAAATACCTTCTACCTTGAAGAGAGTTACACGTATTCACAAATCCATTCATCAGTGTCATCATTTTAAGTTCAAACACTGGAATTATACTTGACTTTTATCTTGGTTATCAGGAATTGCTTTCATTAAGGAATGGATTAAGCATCATCTATGGATGAAATAAAGCATCCTGCTGGAACCAAATGTGATTGAATATGTATTTTACCTATAAAAATACTTTTTAAAAGGGGGAAAAAGATTAGTCTTCTATATCTAGTTAATTAGAGAAACACTTTTTTCAAAAGCAGTTAATTATGATTAAGGGCACAGTATAAAAGTCTACATTAAATTCCCGAACAAAGAAAATTCAAGTCTTTGATTCTAAGTAAATGGATGAAAACAGAAAAAAAAATATAGAAACTTTATTTGAATGAATTGATTCAAGACATTTTTTAAAAGCCTTGAAAAGAATTTAAGAAGTGTTGAGCTTTTAAAAAAATGTGTCATTTAAGAAATGTTCATTGCTTAGTGCAATGCAAAATATGAGATGGAAAGTTTTACAGAATGCAGGCTTAGCCCTTAAGAAGCTTACAATTAACAAAAAAGATAAAATATTTATGACTCTTTTAATTGAGAAAATAGTGTGTTAAGTGTCATGAATGATGCATACTGAACGCTAATGGTGTGTAATGAAGAAGGTGTTGAATTTCTGGCTGCAGTGATCAAAGAAGGCTTGAATGTTACCTTTCAAAATCCTTACTAACTTTCACAATACATGAGAGAAAGTCACTCCAACAGAGAAAAAGTGTGAACAAGTCTTGAAGCAATAAAAAGATTAAAAATAATATCTCTGAGCATTTAATTTGCCAGGGCTGAGAATAAGTATTTTGTAATAAGTCATGTAATATTCTCAACAGCTCTGTGAAGTAGGTTATATTATTATTATTGCAATTTTACAAATAGGAAAACAGACAAAAACTGGGTTACTTGCTCACAGAACATAGCTAAGAAGTATCAGACCTGAGATCTAAAGTCTTATCAGAGCCCATACTCCTAACTATGTATAATAAGTATAAATTAGTTGTAGTGAACTATTCCCCAAAAATATTATAAAAAGGGCTAATCTTACAGAGAGCATTTATTATATCCAGGCTCTGTTCCAAGTGCCTTATATGTATCATCTCATTTAAGCCTCACAACAGCCCTCTAAGATAGATGATGATGATAATGATGATGATGATGATGATGATGATGATGATGATTCATACAAATGTGAAAAACTGAGGATGTAAGGCATAAGGTAATTTGCAAGTAAGTTGGGAAGCCTGAATTTAACACTGATGGTCTTATCCATAGTCCTTGTTTTTCACCACCTAGAGTATTTTGACACTATAGAAATAAGAATGATTAATTCCTGACAAACTATAAAATTTAAAAAAAAATAACAGTTTACAAATGAAATACATAGAATCATCTTTATTTAAGAGAGACAATGATGTCAAACCTCCAGACCTCATCATATTAATATCATTTAAGGAAAAATAGTGTATGTCAATTCAGAAGATTTGGTTATCATTGGAAGTATGCAAACAGGATGGTCATTGGGCCAAAGTAAGCTGACCCATCAGTATGTTAGCTGCTTGCCTGTAGAATAACAATTTTTGCTTTTACATTTGTCAACAGAATGAGAAGTTCATTTGAGAGACCAATACCTCCCATTGAAAACCTACATTTTTAGGCTCTCTTACAGCTCTGAGTTGTGATATAATATTGCCAAGAGCTATGAAGGGTCTGAGATTTTACTGTACCTGCAAGTTAACAAGTTAGCATGCATTAATTTCATGGATACTGGCAGAAAACACTACTTCTTTAGACAGAAAGAGGACTTTAATACTCATGGTACAGAAAGCAGCATGAACCTCATATTAATGTTGCTTCCTCTTGATCTCATGTCTTACAAGTCTATGTGAAGCCACTCTGGTGGATGCTATACATGCAGTGAGCTTTTATGACAGCTAAGAAACCCTGGCTTAGGGAATCTGTATCTTTTATTATGGGCTTCTAAGTAAACTTGCTTGGCATATGCCCAGAAAAAGACACCATCTTCATTGCAAATAAGTCTCTCTTCTCTAGAGAGAGCTTCTGCTTGTATAATATGTAATAAGACACAAAATCTATGGGGAATTGTCACCCCCAAAATACTCTCTGTACAACATTGTTGACTTCTAGCAAATTTCCCAATGCATATGCCAGTCTAAGACCACTCTGGTTAATCTTACTGACAGGAGGGAGGATCAAATCTATTCAGTTTGTTTCCTATGCATTTATTTAAGGACGCTGTAAATAAGATTTTAATGAGAAAGATTGATCTCCACCATGCCCATCAGGATCTTGGATTTAGCAAGCTGAATAAATCCCAACTATTAAGAGTCTACTTTAAAAAGTCAGAGAGTTTCCTCCTTAAATTTCTGCATGAACCTTTTTATTTGGACAGAGGCATTGATCCAGGTACAATAGGATTTATGTAATTGCAAAGATTCTATCTGTCTCACAAGGAGGAATTCTGTCATCTATAACAACCTTGGCCAGTGAGTTGAGGCTGACCTGAATGACTTCCAAGGCTGAAGTGGTATCATCAATCACTTTGGTGAAATTCAGGGGGAAGAAATTCTGATTGGATGATTACTATTTTGGGAAGATCACCAATAGGACACACATCAGTAATGAGTCAGATAGGCCTCCATGTGGCTCCCCCATGTTAATTAGGGTAGCCTCACTTTAGAGAGATTTC